CTGGACTTTTAGAATTTCAACTATAAGGAAGCTCTAAACACTCTAAAGACATTGGCGTCGGAAGCAAATGTGTAGGATTCAAAATTAAACCTGCTAAAAGCCTGTGCAAGTAGGAAAAACCTACCCAAAACCTATTTCTTGGGGGGGGGAGGGTGAAGGATTGAACATCTTTCAGTACCATTTTTTCCAAACACCACAACTTAACCTTTTCTGACCTAAACTCAAAGGTGCCTGTTGAAAATGGGGGGGAGGGGGGCTATACTTACGTCCAAATTCGATTGCCTACATTGTGACCCTCTTTGTAAAAAAGTGGAGAACACCTCTACTTATAAGGTAGTTTTACGCAGTTAGACTGATTTGCCCTTTAATGTAATATTTTACAAAATGCTATTTACAGCTTGTTTATTACATGATTTGTATTAGATTTAAATATTTTTAGCATTATATAGGACTAAGAATAAGTATTTTAATTATTCTTCCAAATGTAAGTAAACAGCATTGATTTCTGATGACAAATATTCCATTGTCTTTGAACATTTTTCCTCTGGGAAAAAGGCACGTTCCGGATGTTCTTAATGAATGAAAAAGTCTTAATTTGCACATTTTGTATCATAAATTTTCTCCGAGTCAAAAAACCCGTTTTAGATTTAAAGCTTCCTTAACTGAAAATTTAATGTAACACTTTGTTTTCTTCAAAATTAAAAAGTAAGTGCTTTGTGTAATAAAATTAACTTTAATATATATATTAATTTAAAATATCTCATTAAAATATAAACCTAAATGTCATTATTTTTATTTATATTTAAGATTTTTAAAAAAATTATATATATTTGTAAATGTACATTTTGAATTATATATCTACGATTTGTTAAAAGAAGTTGAAAAGCTCTTGCTTCCCAATTGGGATTTGAGTTGATCACGCCTATCAATATTCTTAAAATTCAACTTTTCATTTACCACTGTGACATACACTGTAAATCATAAAAAAAAATATAAAGCTGTAGTTATCTTTAATTTAAATATTGCTGAAAAATTAGAATTTTCTCATCTATTCGAAGTACCAGTGTCAAAACTAGTTTTACTGATAAATTGATATTTCACCATTTTATTTCTTGCTTTCTACAATTTCTATTTATTTTTTAATTATAAGGAGTGATCATTCCAATTTTAACCTTATATTTTTTATTATTCATCCAGAACTCTGCCACACAAGGCATGCATTAAGTAAATCCTTTTATGGGACTGAAGGTTAAGCGCAGGTTATTTTCTAAAATGTCGGAATTTATTTAAGCAGAAAGCTAGAATTTATCAAGGAATTTATTAACCACGTATTTTTAGATTATTAAAAGTCAATCTAAATACAAATATATTTGATGAACAAATTAAGTCGGCATACATATATCAAATTTAAATCAATGCAAATCGTTAATTTTTTCGAAAAGAAAGAAAAACTAATATAGATACTGTAGAGCCTGATAAATAAAACATAAAAATGTATCTTAATATATGAAAGATATGGAAATAACGAACAGTATTCAATATAAAAGTCAATAAAACAAAACAAAATAAGAGCAGAGCAAACACGGACCTCTGAAACATCAGAGGTGGGTTTAGGTGTCATGGAGGAGTTATCATCCCCTGCTGACCGCTCACACATCTGCATCTTAAGTTTTTTCGTATGTCTATGGTCTGTACATGCTCAGCTATGTTAAGGACCGATATGGAAAATTTGACCTTTGCACCGTTTTAAAAATTGTAACAAAGCAAATGAAAACTTGTAGAAAATGTAATATAGCTATCAATAATGGATAGGACCGGACCGTAGTTATTACCAGTTATACCGCATGTATCAGTTGTTTGTCACGTAGCTTTAATGAAAATAGAATTGTTAAGCTGAATGTAGGAAATGAGGAAAGTGCAAGGGTATACGCTTGTTTTTAAGAAAAAAAATTGATACACATTAAAAGATGTTAATTTCCTCTACCCAAAAACTGCTAGGAGCTAGTCTGTGCTGTTTGCGAAGTACTGAAAATTTTGCCGAAAATGCTTGCAATAGCTGAAAATTTCAACTTCGCTTAAATCCTGTTATAAATAAAAATAATGTTATGCAGACCAGAATCAGCTCCCAGCACTTTTCAAAATAAACACTTTATAACCAATAAATATTCCAAATTTTAGCTCTAAGAAAATAGTCTAAGCCCTTGCACTTTTGATGTAAATCACATATACGCTTATCGTTTCACCAATATTTTCTACATTCCTTGTCCCTGTGCAGCTCCAATGCTACTAGATAAATTCATATTCTATATATAAAATTGTATTTAATAAATTGTAGGTTTTAAAAATAAGCGATGATATATTTATTTTAGCATTCTTGTAATTATTAAACCAGTGAATCTAGTCCTCCGTGTTACCTGTGCTGCGTCATTTCAAGGTTGTTGATGTCATATTTGATAAAAGAATTTCTTCTATTACTCGATTGTATTGCTATCAAGTATTGTAATTTTACAAGATTTTATAAATAATTGATAAAATAAATACTGTATACAGGGAAATTTTCGCCCCTTTTGCCCTATTCTCATTTGGGCGAATTTAAAACGGAGCGAATTCAAAGAATACAGTATAATTTCTTAAACAAAACTATGGTTGGACGAATTTAAAACGGGGCAAAATTGTTTGCAAGTGTGAAAGGGCGAAAATAAGACTGGGAGAAAATAACCCTGTATACAGTAATATCATTTTTTTTATTTAGGCATGATCATGTCGTTAATTAATTTTTGCGCCTTGTTAAATTCCAATGACATCATAATTAACCTTCCAATATGGTGTACAAGGAATGTGAACTCTGACCTTCCTTAACATAGCTGAGCGCGGTGAAGTACTTGATAAAATGCAAACCAAAGTCTAGTCGAGTGTTTTTAATAATCAAATTGTCACATGATATTGATAAACTGAAAAATATTTCATTAAGTTTATTCAATGGTTTACATAAGCATTAGCAATAATTCATAATGGATCAAATATTAATAAGTGAACGGATTAAGTTTCTCTGCCCTTATCGCCATCACGTGCGGAAAGTCTCAACGGGAAAGAATATTCAAAAGGTTAGGAAAGATAGATATAGAATTTTATATTTATAGATGTTATATTTGTTCCTATTGTTCCCATACAATCTATACGGAAAAAGTCTAACATTCCTAATGTTTTGCTGTGTGGGCAAAATCGATTTTTGACTGCTGCGTGAATGTCGGACCAGTCGATGAGATGTTGGTCCACGTACTTCACAGAATGGGTGGAGCTTAATCTCATTTTCATTCGTTGGGTTCAAGAGTAACGGACCTGAGGTTACATTACCAAAACAAAGTACAAAATACAAGCATGTGTAAAAAAAATTAAGATGAAAGGAACAGTAAAACGAAACATTTATTGACTGAGTTATCGATCAAAATGCGTTTTGTCGAACCTCGAACCAAACTATCTGCCTTTGGCCTAACAGCTTCAGGCAGACAGTGTGGTTCTTTGCTGTAAATGTTTAATATTGTAAGATGGTAAGATTGTGAGCGCAAGACTGATAACGTTAGTATATTAATTTCTTTCTGTTTCACAAATACTAAATAAATAAAATGAAATATATTGAGATATCAAATGAGAAGTACTAAATATTTGTTTGATATTATATATATAAGAGAGGATGAGAGAATTTTGTTTCTAGTAAGTTTATTTCTTCATGATCAAGTTATACGAGGGTTGTCCCAGAAAACATGAACATTTTCATAATCTTTTGTTTCACTAAGATTATGAAGTTAAAAATTGACATACATGAAGATAAATATTTTTTAAACACTGTCAAAAATTTTCAATAAAATATATCCAGAAATAACATTTTTCTCTCAGGTAACCAAATCTAATAAATCAGCTGTCAGCGCAACACTGACGACTTCAAAACGTAGCTCGTAATGTTTGTGAATTTGTTCTGTAATGAAACTCGTATAAGCATAAATTCAGCACTATAATCACATTTCTGGAAGTTACAAAGTTATGGATCTCAAATATAGGAGTGTGGCAAAAAGATTACGGAGTCAAGTCTTTTCATAGACTATTTCACAATCCGATCATAAAACTAAATGATATGTTTAAAAGCGATCTTCACTTAGGACTATGACGTTCTGCTCCTGTCTTTTCAGTTCGTTTTCATTTTAGTGGTATATTCTCTTCTATCGAATAAACAGTCAAGTCAACCCAAAAAAATGAACCTCTTTCCCAAAACTTATGTTTTTTTTTATTGTTATGATCTCTTTTTCCGTGTACAGAAATTATATTCCACTCAACATAGTGTTCCTTAATAATTTTGTGCTACACATTACCGCCCAACGTCATCATGTTTGACGATATCTAAATCAAAGTGCTTTGATATAAATATTCATATTTTTGTCATTCATGATGACAAATACTTGCATTTCTACACAACAGTACACCAAATTATGGAGTGTTTGTGTATGTGTTATTTTGTTAAATTTTACCTCCTTATAACCTGATAACAAAGAAAATTTCATTGATTATGTTATTTGCCAAAGTAAAAAAAAATTCCCGTGCGCCGACTACCGATATTTAACACCCTTTAAATGTTGTTTTCATATGCTTATGACAACACAGCCCTATAATATTTCGTCAAAATAACGAAATGATCACGATCAAACAGCTTCCAAAAACTATTAGTTTTGGTTGTATATAATATTCAAAATATTTAAAAAGCTGGTGCGTTTTTCTTGGACAACCCTCAAATTACGCTATAAACACTTAATAAGAATCATACGTATAGCGAAAAACATTGTTTATTAAATAAAGACTATTTTTCATATGTACAAATCGAAAAAAAATGATTATTAGAATATGGAATTTCTGAATTTTGAATATATTACATTGAAAGCAATGGAACCTGCAAAATGAAACGAAACTTATCAAACTTATCTTTACGAACCATATTTCATTTGGTACTGCATGAACAGCATACAAGGTACAAGATTTTGTACTTAAATGTCACTTGTTCTGTTTTATATTATCTGGCTAATTGTAATGTCAACCATGCCATTGCTTGCCTTGTATTCCGCTTTGTGTTTGTTGAATTTCACTTTTTATTTCATCCTTGCTTGTCCGAATCTTTGTACTTTGATTGAAACTGCAAAAAAATGATTCATTTCATTGTACTGTTCATTTCAAAACAAATAGTTTAAATAGAAATTTCAAAGCAAGATGTATTTTGAAAAATGCCTATTTTTTAATACATAGTTTTAACAATGTTCTCTTTTTTAAATCGTAGCTACTTACACTTTTTTGAATATCAAAACACCAACGAACACCAGAAACACAATCAGAACTACCATCGCAAAAATAACCCAGAGTATGTTCAAGATGTTCTTCCAAAATGATTCGTCTTCTAAAATTTGGATTCAAGTCAATCTTTTGCATATAATAACAGTTGAATGAAAAGCAACAGATTAATATTTCTTATCAAATAAATCTTGCGTCAAATTTCTTACATTTCTTAAACTTGGTTTAAGAAAACAAACTGTATTCATATTTGATTCTCTATTAATAGATTTTATACTATAAAAAAAATAATTGTATCTATTAATAAAAGACTTTGCGTCAACGGAATAAAATCAACGGGTGACAAAAACAAATACCTTTGCTATCCACATGACATTCTCCTGTATTACCTATATAGTAAGGAATGATTTAAGCTCATAAATATTTATTTGATAACTTAATTATTTGGAAATACATTAAATCTATTTAAAAAATTTCTTAAACTTTTATATATTTATCAGATTTCCAATAAAACGAAAATATATGTAAAATTAAATTACCAAAACAATATCTCTCAGGGCAGTTTGGTGTGGAGGTTAGATTGTATACTAAATACGAAGAACAATTCCGCACTTGTATATCAATTTCCCTGTCACAGGAACATTTATTTGTTTTCCCCAAATTTACACAGGCTTTCATGTCTACTGTTTTATCAGCAAGACTAGGCCCTAAGCCTAAAAAGAAAAAGAAAATGACTTGTACATGTAGATTAATTGGATGTTTCTTTGAAAGGGTCAGATTTTTCAAATTTTAATCATTTACCATTCAACCAAATAGGGGCTTCTGTTCCACAGCTGTCCCTTTCAACACATGATGTAGGCATTTCCACATCAACATTTCCCTTCATCGGTCGATACCAACTATTTCGCAGAACGGAGTCGCATAGTCTAAGCGATTTGTCTTGGCAACTAGTTGATCGATCTCCGGAAACAGGAAGATTGAGCCGATTTGTTTCCTCACAAGGGTCTTGAAAATAAAAATGTTTACAGGGTCATAAAATCTGCTAGTTCTACATGAAAGATTTTTTTTGGAAGAAAAAAAAATGATTTTTACTAACCTGGTTTTGAACATTCCATATTTTCTCCTTTGAATGAAACATAAAAATAATTCCATGAAAGAAAAACCATAGAATTAAAATGTATATAACTACATAACATAATGAAACAGAAACTATATACATGTACCTGTAGTTATCTATTCAAATCAATTATGACTTACCAAAGCAATAAGCTACATCACAACTATCTGGACGAGAGAAGTTGTATAAGTAAAAGGTTCCGCACTTCAAAATTTGCACTGGATACTGTTTTTTACATACATCAGAACCAGCATGCATGCATGCTTTTTTTGTTACAACTGTCCCATCAGTGGTAGGATGAGAGCCTTCAAAATAATTCATTTATTTTAAATTAGTGGTTATTAACCTACCCATGACTTTCATGTATTTCTTTACTTAAAATCTCATATTTTTATTCATAAATGAATGCTGCCATATTTTTTGTACCTTTAGGCAAGTACAGAGGGTAATTCGTTCCACAGTAAAACATTCTCACAGGACCCTCGGCCATTTTCCTGGGAAGTCTGTCATCATGACCTAATACTTTGTACCATTTATTTTGACCAGTTTCAATGTATCTGTCGCAAATGCTTTTTTCTCTTGTACGTTTGCATGCTGTTCCCCTCCATCCTCCATTTGGAAGAATGGAATGGTTTTCCTTGTCACAAGGATTGACAAAAGCCCCTTTAAGAGTAATGCTTTGGACGTTATGAACAAAAATCATCAAGATGTAAGGACAAAAAGAACGGAAATGAGCCTTACCTTTATCTATCTCTATAAGGACATAGAGGACAGCTAGAAGAAGGCGCATATTCCTCATCTTATTATCACATCCCAAATATTCTTGTTTGATTTCAACTCTTAGATATTAGATAGCGATATTACTCGTCAATATTTCGACACGCCTTCCAACTGATAACAGGGAAATCAATAAAAAAAAAGCTTAATGGGAAAATAGTTTAAAAGTTTTTCTTAGTCAGGAAGGAATCGGGTTCTTCAAAATGTTATTCTATACCCTGCTTTAAAGTATACTTGTCAATCAGATTATGACCAATAGGAATTAAGGGTTTTTTTTTATTTCATATGTAAACATGTATATATAGATAGACAAAACACATATTTTTTTTTAATTTGAAAAATGAGGCCGGTTATCTTAAGTTATCTTTTAAGAACAGTACTCTTTGGCAAATTCCTCTTAGCAGTGGGTTAGTCTCTGATTTTTCTCACTCTCTCTCTCTCTCTCTCTCTCTCTCTCTCTCTCTCTCTCTCTTGTTCTCTCGTACTCTTCCTATCTCTCTCGCTTTCTCTATCTCTTTTTTCTCTCTTTCTCCTTTTCTTTCTCTCATATTGTTATTTTTTCAGCTAATGCAGGAGACCCATGCTTGATTGCTAAAAGTCTTCCAAACTTTGAACTACGTTTGAAAGTTTTTAAAATTGATCCGCGAAGAGGAGATAAAGCTTTATGCGACAGATATCTCATTCAAGAACCCGGGGAATGGTTTCATACTTTAGAAAATAATGAAATGGTGAACAACAAAACCAGATTTTATGAATGCGGAACACATTATGGTATCTACATGCAAGGTATGTAATGAAATACAGTTTACTAAATAAAAAAGAAGATTTATTACAAAAGAACTATTCTTAAGGGGAGACAGGACACATGTCACATGACTAAAAAGACATATCACGTCATTCTAGGTGATGATATACATGTTAAACGTTGTTAAAATCAACAGTTCTTGTGTAATTTTATTCTAAATTCTGAAATTGTTTTTTAAACATTTAATTTTAGATATTATTATTCATATAATTTTTAAAGGTCTTGCCATCATTTAGATATTGTGATGTTGCCCAATCCACACATTTGTTTCTCTTCACCTTGCAGTCTAACGTCAGTGACGTCATAGATGTAGTGTTTGAATTCTCAGTGCAGCGAGATCAAGTATTCACACCCGTCATGATCAGTTTTATTTCATAATAAACATGTCACAGTCAATATATCGTGATAAATTTCTGAAGCAGATTTTTTTTAAATTAATATTTTTTCGTGTTTAGTAGCAGAGATTCTCTCTATTTACATAATTTTGAATGTTTAAATTTTCGTGTGACGTCACAATTGATTTCCCGCACGCGGAAATACAATTAACGTGAAGCGTTTTATCCATCTTCCCAAGTCAAGAGTTTCTGATCCGCTCCGCTCCACATAAACCCTTGACCGAATAGGCTAAGTTTGACGCCATCTAGTGAGATTAAACATTTTGAACTCTACTGACCTCTGCTATTAGCCAATCAGAGTAAACGAATTCAACAGAGATTTCGAGATAATATTGGTAGTCGGTAATAAATTCAATATAACTCAACTAAAGAGCTGAGACAAACCTTTAACTGGGCTATTTAATTATAAAGACGTTATCCTTGGGACTACAACTGGCGGGTTTTTCTGTTAACGATTTAGTTTCAGTTTAAATAAAACAATGATTTTGATTGGCTCATGCGTTTTATCATGCTTACGTCAAGTTCAATGATGTCCTGTGCAATAATGAGGTAAGCTTCATCCTATGATATATATGCAGTAAATAATTAGGATGAAGGACTGACATTCAATCGTAAATTTAGAAATATTTATTGACAGAATTTTTTTTCAAATGAGGATTTTGTCGTTGAAGCTGCCTTGAAAAACGCAGAAATTATCCCATCCAAATACAGTGGACCTTCCGATATCCGGACCCCAGATATCCGGATGTTTCAGTATCCGGACTATTTTTCATCGGGACAGAATTTTTTTTATGTTATATTGTTTTGTTTAACCAGTGATTCAGGTATCCAGACGCTTCACATATCAGGACAAATTCAAAGCGTCCGGATAAATGAATTTCCATTGTTCTATATTAAATTGAAGCAATTGTTTTCAGATAATTTTAACACTATGAGTATTATGAAATATTTGAGTATATAGTGTTATCTATCATAATTATCTTTTGTGCGTAAAAATTCGCATTATGGACTCTATTATGGGCCCGTAAAAATAAAGTATCTGAATTCCATACAATCTCTACACAGGGCGGTATTTGTGGGGCGATATCTTTTAAAATGTTTAGTACATATATATATATCAAATTAGTAATATAAAAAAAAATACGAAAAAAATTCATTGACAGGATTTTTCAGCTAAAGGCTTGTTCCTCCTTAATAATTTTGGCAATGTTTATATATCCCAGGTAGAGTAAACATGTACTCCTTATTAAAATGTCTTTTTATCTTTTCTTTTTTTATTTTTAATTTTGTTTATGATCAAAATTTTTAAAGATTTTTTTTTATCATATATTTGTACACATGTTAAATGTATGGCTATAATTTTGAAGGATATTTGGTATGCGCATTCAACTAATTGAAAGTTCAAAGTCCACGTGTTCATCTTTTTTTTTGAAAATATTTGTAAACAAAAAACATCCTCTTTAGACACTTAATGCAAAGAGCATACACGTATTGTGGGTACCCCAAAGCAAACCTATTTATGATTGAATGGATTTTTGAAAACAATAGCCTTCAATAAAAAGATTTTTCAAGATATTCTATATTATTGCTATACGGTGAACTTATTTTTTAAAATATAACGAAAAAAAATGTATAGCTTTCGATAACTACAATAATAATTTTGAGCTGTGGTCGAAAGTGAGATTTAATGATCGAAATTATTTTGTCTTTTGTCTATCGCCGTTGTCGTTGTAAACTTTTCACAATCTCAACTTCTTCTCCAAACTGCTAGGCTAATTCAACAAAACTTGATTCAAGTTTATTCTATTGAAGGGCCATGTATTCCACCAAGGGAACATAATAATGAAAAACCTAAATATTAATGGCATCATTGAAAAATCTATTGCTAAAATCGAATGGGCCAGGAAAGATGAATTTCTTCAAAGTAATCATCGTCAATAAGTCAATTAGATTAGGATTGCTAAAATTATGACCCCATTGGGTAGAGTGGGTCCACAATGGACGATAAAAAAATTAATATAGTAATGCACAAGAAAAATCTATTAAAATATTCTCAAGAACAGCATAGCCATGATTGGTCATATTTATTTAAAGGCCTCCTCAGGTGGTGTAAATTCGAGTGTGTTAAAATAATGACCCCCGGGGGTAGGGTGGGGCGACAATGGACGACCAAAGTTTTACATAGGCGAAAAACAGGAAAATCTTTAAATCTTCATATAACATATAAAGTAATATGACTAGTATATGGAAGCATCATCAGATAGTGTTGTTAGAGTTTGTTAATGCTCATGTGAGTCATATGGTTTCTTGGCCTCTTGTTATAATATTTTATTTGTGATTACTATAACTAACTTCAAAGTTTATGCTACAACATAGCTGAGTGCATGCAGACGCTGTCTCAGAAGCTATCCATTGAATTTCAATTACAAAATATGATCGTATTTGTTTTACATAACAAAAGCCTTTTACCATATATATTATATTTTCGATATTTCAGGCGATCCTCCAACAAAAGAAAATGAAGTTGTTACACGCACAGCGTGTGTCATTCCACACTGCACAACAAAATATACCATTAAAGTCAAAAAATGCAATACTTTTACTGCTTACTATTTACCAAGACCTACGTCATGTGATCAAGCATATTGTTTTGGTAGGTTTTCATTATGATATTATTTTGCAAAGGACCACACTTATACTTATTTTAATTATCTCTTCCTTATTATATTTTCAAATTTTGATTTTTCTATCATAGAAATCAATTCTAAACCCACTGTCAATGAAAGTATAATAAAATTTTCTATTTCATTGTTTGTTTGTTTTTTCAAAAAGTTTTTACTTGTTTTATGCCAGTTTGAAAAATTACAAAAGGAATATATCCATTTGATTTAAAAGAAATCCGAAAAGATTTTGGTTAAAATGAATACTTCTTTTAAATTATATCTTTTCATCTGGAGAAGTATGAATCTTTCATAATAATTAAACATCAGAAAAATATTGGCTAAACCTTAACTCATACGACATCATTGTTGATAATATGAACTTAAATAGATATTTGATATCAAAGTTGGTTTAAAGTATCTTTAATTAAACGTAAACAATATAAACGTAAAAACTAAAAATAAAGTGGGATTTATTCTTAAATGTATAAAATATGTGTAAATTGTTTGCACAAGCTTTCCTTATTTATATTGACATTGAAATTTATAAAAAAAATTAAAAAAAATAGTTTTCAATAGATAATTGAGATTTGGTTATAGTAAGAATTGAAATGCAGTCAATAAACCAGATATGATAAATTAATTGAATTACCTTAAGTTTAGCTGAGAACCTGTTCCTTGCTAGCAGATGATGAAATCGGTATTAATGAGTAAGTGTTTCATTATTATAGGCAAAGTCTCAAACAAAATCATCTGTTACATACACAACAAGGAATCCATATCGCTCGCTATTTTGCTTTTTTTCTTCTTTAGATCTTGATACGTCAAATAAGACGTCAAATGAAAAAAATTTAAGAAAATGCGCTTCTGCAAACGTTAAGACAATTTCGCACAATCAATACAATGAATGACAGTAATGTCTGTGGGTTTTTTTTTCTGATTGACTCTTACCCACTGGATGAAATTTAATTCAGTTTTTGCTTTATCTCTATTACGTACTTATGTTCATAAACGTGAGAGTTAAATTCCTTGTAACACATAAATTAATTTTTTGAAACATATTTTAGAGTCGTTGACATAGATTAGTTAATTAAAAATACAGGGCTAATTTTATTAATATTAGGTTTTCTCATTCTTATAATTCCGTATGTCATTGATGTTTTGGCATTTCTTACAATGTAGGGAGTGCCTCATTATATACTGAAAGGAAAAAGAAACGCATAATAGCATAATAGTATTTCATCAAATGTCTGTGTTTTTTTTAATCTGATACTGTCAATCTCAAGGAAACATTCTGTACGTGAAAGTCTCAAGTCTTCCTGAATCAGGAAAATACAATTTTGTGCAGTGTAGATCTCATGTAGAAGTCTGACATGTTTCCGTATATCATTGCAGAATTATTGCTTCTATGTTTTATTTACAGGATTCGGAGTTAATGGTAAGTTCATTGTAATTTAAGTCTCTCTCTCTCTCTCTCTCTCTCTCTCTCTCTCTCTCTCTCTCTCTGGTATAAACAAAAAATGTTGGTTTACCTTATTCCTCTTTTACTCACATTAGGTATTTTGTTTGAAATCTACATGAATTGTTTTATCATAAAAAATTACATAAGGAAAGTTTGGGTTCTATTTTATGTGATGACGACAGTCTTAGAAACTCTGCAAAAATGATGACGACTAAGTTTTTCCCGATAATTTGTCAAGGAAAATAGGTTTTATTTTTTTAACCGATATTCTTATATAATTAATTTGTAGAAATGTAAACAGAAGAATATGCAAATCGTTTTTTATGCAAACAGTATTTCATCATTTTTCTTAACTCTCCTATTATATTTAAAAAAACAAAGTTTAAATTCTTCTTTTTTTTAATTCCAGTTGTAAATGCAGGTCATGTGTAAAAAGTTTGATTCATTTTATTTATTTACGATCGTATCACAAAATTCATGTGAGAGCTACCTGCTCTGTACAATTTGTCAAAAAGTTAGTTTAAAAGTAACCTTTGCTTAAGAAATAAAATGAATTAGTAAAACCTACAAATGAAATAATTCTATAGACTGAATATACCGTAATAAAATTGTTTTATATGAACTTAATTTTTTTAAAGGTATTGCACCGAATAAAACAACGGAAAAACCATCCGTTGAACCTAAGCTTGTTAAGGTTAAAGGCAAAACAGTTGATGACGAAAGTTATCAGAAACTCGTCTTTCAATGTAAGTTTAGGCCAATCAGAGATGATGTCAATAGAGTGCTTTATAAGGTGTTCTGGTACATCAACAATCATACTTCAACCATTTTTGCCAGCAAAGCAGTTCCTGAAAGTTCATTATCAGAAACATTTCTAGAGGGTAAAACAGGACTAAATTCAATCAAACTTGGTGTAGAGGTAAGAAATTCAAAAATGTTTTCAAATGAATTAACTACGTGTAATTATTACTGAAATTGGCGTTATGCACATTTATAATTTCAAACAAGTCGTCATTAGCATGGCATTTAATTTATGATCACCCATAAACTATGAATGACACAATTCCTGAAAAATACATGTATATTCTGTTTATCTACAGATTTCCTGTAAGGTTCGTCTTTATTATGATGCTCAAGGTCCACCAGGCCCATCCTCTGAAAAAAGCCAACATTTCTTTGCTGGAGTTCAGGTACAGAAATGATATTATTACGTTACAAGCCGTTTTTTACACATCTATTAGTCCATTTCTAATCTTTCATTTTACATGTACATGTAAGGTTGTAAAGTTTTCCCCATGAACTGGTTTACTGTGTCAGACCCGAAACAAAAAAAAGGAATTTTCCTCACAGAAACGATCTAAATTTACTGCGTGCGACACGGTAAAAATCATACAACACAGTAAAAATTATCCGACACAGTTACATCCGTGATAATCAGAAAATATTTTTTCTCTAACTAAAACTCGTATCAAGCGAATCTGTCGCCTTTCATCTGAAAAGCAGAGCGCTTAATCATCTCTTAATTAAGGCACATGGTCTTGCTTCACCCTGTATTATCAATTGCCACCTATTCTTTCGCTGGACTTGACGCATTAAAGAACAAACACAAATTTTAAGTCAATTGCATTTTTAAAAATATCATTCTAAAATTAATTAAATATAATGGTATGCCTTTACTTCAGAACCACAGTGACATATCTGCTAGAGTTATGTTGGCGCTGTCAATCAAACATATCGTATACCTCAATCATTTAATTAATATAAATTAATATGAATATAATTATATAATGTATAACTGCATATGGACTATCTCTACTTCATATAAAATATATTTAGTTGAAGCACTTGTTAATATAAATTTTAACACCGATAAATGTTCCCCTTAATTAATTATGTGTTTGCATAATTATAAATGAATATATAAATATTTATAATTACCCCGGGGTTCTTATGGTCGGTTCAGGTTCAGGAGGAGTGAAATGAAAAAAAGTAAAGTTTACATCGTTTATTGGAAAAACTAACGATCTAGAAATAAACAAATCAGGTCCTAAAACAATATAGCTATAGTTTTCATCCTCTCAACATGAGAATTATATCTGATTATAGAGAATAAGCTCCAAAATATAAAAATTTCAATAACTCATACTGAGACTTTTAACAACGACTGCAGCTCATGATCTACATATATCACACGATAGAAAAATACCCTTCAAAATTATCACATGATCAAATTCTTTGCAATTGACTATAAGTAAACAATACAACGATCGGCAGTACAATAACTTTATTTCTATCCTTCGATCCATAAATAAGCAAGACTTTACATGTATCCACCAATGTTTATAAATGTGTAGCCCTTCGATGACAGAGGGCTTAAAGTATGAGGAGAAATTACTACGCATATCGAAATTAGTAATTTTGAAATTAAATTTATGCAGTATGCTCACAAATATGTGTAGATGGCAGTTTATATAGCTTACACATGCATGTATAAATATTTACATTTCAAATATCTTTGTCCGAGATAAAATTACACATAGTAAATATACTTTATCTCTACACAAATGTACATGTGCTGGTTCATTGATAGGCGCGGTTTTAAAAACATCACGTGCGGGGCGGGACAAATAGAGGCAGAAGCGGGACTTAGAGCACGTGGATTGGTGGAATCAAAAGCATGTAAATATATGGAATAAATTTTTGGATTCATAAAGATGATAAATTGATTAGCTTGCGTGATAATTTTATGCATGTACACCTTCTGCGTTCATGCAAATTAGCCACTTGATTGATCACTTCATAAAACCAAAAATTAAACATTTATTTATTGCCCACGTGGCGCAGTGGTTAGAGCGTCTGCTCTAGAGTTGCAAAGTAAGGAGTCGATCCTTAAGTCGCGGGTTCGAATCCCACTGCATGACGTAGAGACAGGTCCTTCAGATGCAACCGTATAAACCGAGGTCTCTTGCTGGCACTAAAACGATCCCTCACTGCTCAAAGGCCCCAAGTGCCGATCAAGTAAAAGACAAATTATTTAGTTCTCCAGCGGCAAGTGATGGTGTCTTCATATGAGTGATTAATTCTAGAGAGGGACGTTAAACAGCATACAATCAATTCTTAAGTAAACACATCACTGGAGAAGTGTGCATTTATCGGTATTTAAATATACTGAAAGGAAAAAGAAACGCATAATAGCATAATAGCGAAAAATATTTAACTATGTGGCCGAAAATTATGTTAATTGGTCAGATGTGTATTTTAGTTAATGTGCACTAAAATCGATGGTCAATATTACTCAACCATGAAATGTATGGTGTCACGTAGGGGAAGTGATAAAAAGCCGAATACACGTGCATGTTGATGATGACAATTTTGTGATCACATTATGTAGTGCCAAGAGATGCATTAGAGTTATAGACATCGTTTTCCGATATTTGCAGTCAGTATAAATTTCTTGCAATCATGGTATGGATGACGGAAGTTACATAGGGTCTAGTAATTGAGTTGCATAAGTGAATAAAAAGGCAACAACATGTTGCTGTGCAGTTTGTTTTTAACTTTTCAACCAAAAAAGTTTTTTCGGTTGGCAGAGCCAACCAACCATGAGGGTGACGTTGGCGCGTAACAACGTCACATCAAGATAGGACTTTTCATCATGCTACCTCGGTTATTGTCAGGTCATTATCACTGAAACCGATATTTTTAATGTAGGCAATCCTACTCATATTTCAACCCTAATACTAACAGAAACTCTCTGCTCTAATTTGGTACGCAAGCTTGGCAACTTTTCGTCTATTTTACTCTCACACGCGCATGTACGCGCCGTATGCGTATTGTTTTTAGCATGTTCACGCTGAGAAAATGTAGCCAGTATTTGTCGATACTTCCTTACAAACATTCACGTGTACCAAATCAGCTAGATTCTGTAAATTCTATCCTAAATCAAAAATTCGTGGGATTCACTGGGCGGGTGGATTTGTTAGCTTTGGAATAATACAGCTACTTTTAGTCATTAAGACTACCGTCGGAAGGCTTTAATGTAATCCTTGAGAAAGATAAATGCTCTGTTGAACTCAATGCACAAGAAAATCAAGGCTGTTACTGATGCGCAAGGGAGATGATGAGAATTTTTATTTTAATTTTGGGTGGTATCGACATATCAATTTCAATAACTCAGGAATTATCGGTCAAAGTCACACAAGATTTCGGTTACTTGTTGTTTAAAGTTGAATTAAAATGATTGATAACAATACTGGAAAACATATTGGAAATAAAAGTTTTAATTTTATTCTAAAGTTTATTATGCGTTTCTTTTTCCTTTCAGTATATATTAACAAGTGCTTGAAAAAAATCAGTTCTATATTAAGTTAAAAAAATATATATACGAGGGTCATTCAAAAAGGTCATAGACTTTTGTCCTAACTTTTTTATTAATGGTCATATCCAAATTTGGTACACATACAGGGTGTCTCAAAACATGTTTACACTTTTAATAATCTATAACTTTATCAAACAAAAAAACATTCATAAAGATATTTTGTCAACATTTCGTGTATTAGCATACACTTTATCTTACAAACTTTCTAGAATTTCTGTTAAAGAGTCAGGTACTTATGATGTACTTATGACGTCATCATATTTTTAATATGGAACCTTCTTGAGAGGAGCTGGTAGAAATTGTTAAACTTTTCTATCGGTCTAAAATTGCTACTTTATAGTCATTAGTACCATGAGAAAACAACATCCTGCAATTAAAGTGCTCAACAGAATATTAATTTACAGATTTGTGAAGGGGTTTAAAGTTAAAGGCACCATTAATGACACATGACTTAATTCTGGTATTAGAAGACCAAGGAAAGTTCGATCCAAATAGAACATTAATACCATTGATAGAATTACTAAATTTCACAAAAATCCCTTAGAGTGGTCCTGTGTGAACCATATAGCACCTTTGGTGAATCTAGTGTTCATAAAATACCCAAATTTGATTTTAAAATCGATTTTTACAAGTTAAGTGTAATACAGCATTTGCAAGAGACAGAAATTAGAAGTCGTTTGAGTTTTACCATTGAATTTTAATTAGACCCGATTCTGAAAATTTAGCAGATGCATGGTTTTCCGACGAAGGCCACTTCCATTTTAACAATGTTGTTAAAGAGAACATAAATTTTATTATTTGGTTAAACCCAATTTTGATGAGGAAAAACTTCTGAATTGTTTTAATGTTACATTTAAATCTTGGTAAATAAAAAAAGAATTCAGAAATCGTGTTCAAACAATGTTAATTTAAAGGGACGTCATTTGGAACATGTTTTAAAATGACATATGTTTTTCTAAAGAAAAAATATAGATGATTAATAAAGAAAATGTGACAAATGTATGCTCTACAAAAAATTTATAACAATTTCATTATGTATTTTAAATTTCATTACTGTAACTTGAGGCAAATTTTTTTTATAATGGTTTAAAAGTGTAACATATGCTTTGGGACACCCTGTATTTCAACAACAAATAAAAAATCATTTGAGTTTAAAAAATGGAATACACTGTAAACGTTTTACATTTGGTTGTGTATTCTTTTTAGCGCTTTTGGCGAAGTGAAACTTCCGCTAATTCAAGTACAACGCTAAATGTCTTGCACATATAGACATAAATAGGAACACTGAGAAATGCGCTAAATCAAATCTACGCTAACTTGTTCAAAAATCAATTTCCGCCAAATATCGTACACGCTAAATATAATACATTTACAGTATCTTCATATTTATAAAGATTAACAAAGATTTAGAACAGCAAAACTAGGGTCAAGGAGCAACCTGAAAATTTTTACTCTATAGTATCTATAGCTATACCTCTAAGGAATGGAGCTGAAACAAAATAAAATTTACATGTTTGAATTAAGTCTTGCTTTGTTACCTAAGATGCTATCAGGTAATGTAATATATCGCTCCGTTTAAAAGATATCAGTTTCTAAATACATATGGACTTGATTAAAAATGCAAAATACCATGACGTTAGAGGACGTCACGGAGCAGCGAGTAGCAACAAAATTTTGTTTGCATTCGGGAAACTTCTTTCACAAACTTGGAAAAAATCTATGTAAACCAGAAAATGTTTGAAAATAAGCCATGTATTTGTATAAAATGGAAAAAACAATTTTTGGGTGGTAGCGAGATTGAATCGGACGGTGGATGGTCTGCAAATAAACAGGTTATAGTTTAAAATCTTGTCAAAAGAGTTAAGAAGGTCATTAAATGTAATGTGCGCTTCACTGTTGCGAAACTAATAGAGTAACGCGGTAAAGAATTAAAAAACACTGACAATCAAGTTCAAGCTACCGGTGTTTGCATATTTGTTAGCAAACTAGGTATCATTTGTTATGGATATGTTTTTTATGAACGAGGAAGACGCTACAAGCCGTGTATGAAATTAAAAAGCAAAGTAATTTTCAGAAACTTTCTCGACGGTGCTTTTGACGTTACAATGTTCGGTAACCGTACATGTAACAAAACATATTGCTTTAAAAATTTGCTAACATTAATGAAACTTCACACTTCGACAAAATAAATGTTTTTATTGGAGAAAATGTGTTGATTTTAATTTTTTGATAATAACGTGACGATGAGGAACATTGTCTACGTATTTATTAAATTACTCTCGTATATATGCAGTTGCATATCATTGATAATTATATGTACGTTGATTTGAAAAAAATATTCTGATAGTTTTGTTTCGTTTTCTTTCAGTAGGTTTCGCTTTGATTATGTTTCGTTTCGGTGGGTTTCAGTAGATTTCGTTTCGTTTCAATTAATTTCGCTTCTTTTTTTTCGATTTGCATTTTACAGGTAATTTTTAAAAGAAACACAGAATTTTTTTCTAATTCCAAAAACTTTTATATAAATCGATCAACTGACAAATAACATGACAATTTTTTTTTTTTTTTTTTTTTTTTTTTGACTTTTAAAGATGGTCAGAAGTTCGATTGTATCAATTAGAATTTCATTTGCCTTCAGTGCATGTATTTGAATTATATTTGTATTTACAAAACTATCAATTCAGAATTTAATACACGTACAACTTTTTAAGTAGTAATTGACGAATGTTATATTCTTTTTCAAAAATCGTACAAATTTTGGGGTGGGTGGGGGGAGTAAGTTTCAGTTATAGTTGTTACACTAAAATATACTCAACAAAAAAAGAAACGTATATTCAGATTAAACATGATAATCTAAGTTTTAAGTTAAAACCTTAATTTTTAAAAGTGATTTTAGAGTGTGTTGTGATAAAAATCTAACATGTCCTATGTTCCAAATTGAAAAGTTAAGTTGACTTCATTGACGTCGCCTCCAAATTCTAAAGACATACGTCTTAACCAATCCATATGTCCTTTGTGACCTCTCAGCGCTAGTGGATTTCCAATGTACGGACGTCGTGCACGAATACTAGCTCCTCTCAGTATCTTGCGAACAATTTTTTGCACTTTATGCTGATTTTAGCAGTTTGTACAGCAGTTATGAGGCAATTGCGCAGATGCTGAAGAAGGATCTGACGGTCGTTTTTTGGTGTGGTAACTCGCAAACAGCCAGTTCTTGGTCTGTCACTCGTGTTCCTAGCTGGTGGAGACGTGCTGCAAAGCTGATTGATGTACACAAAATGCAGTTGCAACTTCCTGTGGGGTAGCTCCGGATCGTATCATTGTTAGAGCCTTGTTGCCTTCATCTTCGTTTAGGCGTGGCATTGCAGCATCAACATTGCAATCAAGGCATAAATATGGGTTCAATAGGAGTGTTTATTGTTTCTCTAAATCCCAAATTTCATTGAAAATAGACCCCCGATTTACAAGAAATCATCTAAAACACCATTTTCATAATTTTGATCAATCAAGGGAAATTATTCAACAATTGGGTTTTAAAAGCCCGGGGTGTACTTTAAATAGGTTACAGGTATCCAATGATATAAAGATAGTTGTTCCATATTAAATAGATATAGCCCTTTGATGAGGTCGATCCATAGATATATCGACTTCACTGAAAAGCATATCGACCGAGGTCAATATGCTTTTCGGTGAAGTCGATAAGTCTATGGATTGACCGAATTACAGGGCTACATTTGTTATATTATTTTTTACATAAATTGACAAAACAAAATTTGAAAATAATGGGAACAAGGCATAAGTGTTTTTTCCCCTTCAACGCTTAGAGACTAGAGATCAAAATAAATTAATCTATTTAATGTTCATGTGTTACCTTTATGTTGATGGAGTAATTTATTTTTTCAAAATACTTAATATCTTTGATTACGTTTTGTATCAATTTTTGACAAACTTATCCAATATGCTTAAATATAAAGTAGATCCTAATTCAAGGATTCAAGGCATTGTAACGTCTCATCAATTAAGGAACATGAAAAAATAATTATAATGGAAGTTGTAGTAAATATTTTTTTTCAGATACATCAGGTCATACTTGATGAGTTAATCAGTACTATTTTTGTTTTACAGAAAATTATCGCCATTGTAAGAAACATCAAGTCGATATGCATTTCGGATTCTAAAAATAGTAACTCAAGTCTTTATGCTGTTATATACTTAATCATATGATTAAATTTGAGCCAATCAGAGAGCTTGGAATAAATGAAAAAAATAATACACTGTTCTAAAAATCTTTTTGGCTAGTAAAACAATATGCGTTTCTTTTTTGTTGAGTATATATTAGCTATAGAGACATTCTTACTGTTCTCAATAGTCAACAACGTATGTATGTCTATACCATTATTGTAAAGAATTACTTATTTTTATTTTTTTATATTAAAGTTTGTATATTTATGGGGGGGGGGGTTAAATTTATTTACATGAGTAGTCGCTGTGGTTCAGTTGTAAATGTGATCCCGATATAACCGTGATTAATAGAGTTTCGCGTGAAGTCTGCAACACAGTAAAATTCCAAATGTTGGAGAACTCTGTCAGGAATGTATCATTATTGGAAATAATTAAGCGCGATCTAAATGCATAGATACGTGTTATATATAGATCACCTCCCATTGATGTTAAGAATTTTGATTTATAACACTTGCATGACGTGGTTTTAAGTCTTTTACCAATTCAAAGCTTCCATAAGAGATTTTTCTATTCCATTCTTATTATTATTGATATACCACATTTTTATAAATTGACACCAAAAGGAAAAAAATGAAGGACTATAAAGTTTACCAAATGAATGCAACTGAGACCACTGAAAACAGATCATAGTTTATGTTATGAAATAAATTTAAAAATGTAATTAATAGTAATTCATAATATTCATAATATTTCTTTAAATATTACTGTTGTAGCCTTTGAAACGGTCCTACACAATAATAAGAGGAGACAAAAAAGAGTCGCACATTGAATTCAAGCTTACAGTGCCATTTGGTTGTACGTTCTTCAGCCCCACGGATACCGACCCTTTGCCGTGTTCCCTTTCTGTAGAGCTTACAACGCCTGATTATTTGAAATGCAGTCAAGGAATTTATGCAGTTAATATGTGTGGGAAAACTGTGTCAAGTCTTACCTGGAATCAGACGCAAAGTATTGCGATACACCATAAAGACAACAACAATTATAGAACCGTTAAAACGTTTGAAGTTCATCTGAAAACAAAAGTTAGAGAAAACGGTGGAACATTTTGGGATGCTGTTGAAGTACCAACGATATATGTAAGAGATTATATTTATCATATAACGTACACTTGATATTTTGTAATCACTAGTAATGTGTGTATTCTGTACACAAAGGCAAAATAATTTTTAAAATTATCCTTCATTCTTTAACTTTTGTGAATCTTACAGATAAACGTCATAGAAGGATCTGAAAGATGGAAAGGGTTAACATGCGTTGCTGTTAGCGATCCACACATGACAAGTTTTGAAAATAAGTAAGTATATCTTCTTTTTCTCGAATTCTAGATACAAGATTAAGTTATAATTATACATGTACATTTTTTTTAAACTGTTATTTTCTTTCAGACATTATGATAGTCAAAACCCTGGAACCTATACACTTTATAGAAATATGGATGAAGCAGGAAACGTAAACGAGGTAGACATACATTATAAAAATGAATAATTATGTTATTTGGGTAACGTTCATGTAATACAAAAAAGACCCGGAAAAAAATTGAAACTATTTTTATTTGATGAAGTCATGAACATGGAGACTGGAAAAATCGAGCATAACAACAATTTTAAGAAGAAAGATTCTTTATCCCAATTTATTTGGTACAACTTTTTCTGAATGATTTTAAATCTATATATTTTGAACAATGGATCAAACGTGTTATATTGTACATTGAATGTGAAGGAGGTTTTTTTTATGAAAATGGTGAAATTCATCTATAAAGAATATGAAACATATTTATATTTTTAAAAAGTTAAAACAACATCTTCTGTGAATATACATCTATTATGCTCCAAGAGACACTGCCGCCTTTTTAAATCCTAAGCAATTAAAAATATCAACAACAATCATTATAATGACTTGTTTTTGTTATGAAACAATAGTTTTATGTCAATTCTACTTCTCGTTCTCGTCCAGTGAGAATTTTACAATTCAATCTATTAGAACAAGTAGAATACATATTTTTAAAGAGATGATTAATTATTATGGGAAAATGTATACATTTCAAAATTCAATAAAGATATAGTGAGTTATGCAATGTATCAGGAGGATAGTAAACATCTTTCGTGTAAATGATAACTCATAAATCGGCACTTAGTTGGTCATTTTTAACACTTGAGTAACCTGTCCTTAAAACACAACATCGTACACGTCAATTATTAATAATCATTTTTTTTTTAAAATAATTTAATTAAAGGTATGCATAAGTTATAATCTTTTTGGATAATTTCATGTACCTATAAATCTATCTATGAAATGTTTTACAATATGTGCAACTTGAAAAAATTAGTTGAAAGGCCTAGCATTCCTAATTGTACATGTATATCCAACACATGAGGGACTAATTCCTTGTGTGCGCTAGCTTGGAGGCAATACTGGTCTTTTAAAAGACCCATTTTGCTACCCAGATTCAATGTTTTTCGACATTAAAACTGCATTAAAAGATAAAAAGAATGTTATGTAAGTATACATATGATGCATATTGTTTTCTGTAGAAGAAATACATGAAATATATTCTTATAATATTTGATATGGAAATTAAAAAAAAACATCTCTTTTTAAAAATGTAAAGAGGTGTGTCTCTAAATTAGAAAGATATCTCTTCTAAAGCTGTTAAAGAAATATCTTACTTTAAGAGATATCTCTCTCGCTTAGAGATATTTTTTCTAAAGAGAGAGAGAGAGAGATTATAAAAAGTTTAAAGTTAAAAAAAGATATCTTTTCATGTAAAGTAAATTCATCTTAGTTAAAGATATAACTCGAGAAAGCAAAGGGATACTCACTTTTATTGAAAGAAATTAAACTTTAAAGATGCTTTTTCTATCGAATAAATAGTATAATGTTTTGCCACATGGTACATTTAATAAAATTTGTTTACTGTAATGTATAATAATAAATTCAGTATCCAATACAGTAAAACTCGTTTAGAACTAACACGAATATAGTGAATTCATAGAATTAGCAAAGTCATCTAGGATCCCCAGCTATATATATTTAATGAATTTCTTATATGGTTATAACGAATTACGGATACAGTGAAGTAATTTCATAGGTCCCAGTGACTTCGTTATAACCGAGTCTTGGTGTATTGTAGCTGTTGTATTTTTTTGTTTACTCTGCTTTCAATTTGCCATTTTCATGTGTGTTATCGTGTACACTTTAAAAACAAAATTAAAATGATGTTTACTTTAATGCTATTGATGCGATAAAACTTATTTAAGATTTTTATGTTTGTACTTTAAGATCCAGATGAAGGTCACATCTTGTTTGCTTGTTAAAGGACACATGAACCAGTGCGCTTGCGCAGTTGCAGTTAGGGCGGCATCAGATATATTTGTAATAGACAGATGTCCGAAAACATCCCCAAGAATATTAGGATTCCAAAGCTGTGTTGAGGACATTTTACATGTCATTAAAAATACCAATGATGAACATCAATATGAGGTATTTTAATTAAGACAACTTCAAGAGTACTGTGCTACAATATATTCGAGAAGAAGTGGTGTAAATCAAATATGGATACTTATAAATTTTCAGGAACTTTTGAAAAATTGGAAATCACAAAATTTTACCAAAATAAATAATTTGAAAACTAACGACTCTTCAACATTAAACACAACCGATCCCTACAATAAATTAAAGTCCAGGCTTTTTGACATGATTGACAGCTGCTTTTTTCAATAAAAATGGAACTAATAAATTTACCTACCTTGTCATAAGTCATTTACAAAATTATTTTGTCAAACAACATTCTGCTTGTACACACAAGTACTCTGAAGTTGACATAAAAAATGCTCGAGTTTCTGATTGACAAAATCGATGTGGTTTTTGGAGACCAGTTCTTTCAATAATCTATTGAAATTCCTATGGGTACCATTTGCCCCTGTTGTTAAAAGACCTAGTTTTGTATTCATATGAAGAGAAATTTGTCCAAAATCTTATACTTGAGAAAACGAAAACATTTGCTGTTACCTTCAACTCGACATTTAGATATATCGACGATGTATTGTCAATTAACAATGGTTATTTCCATTCTTATGTCGATACGATATATCCCGGTGAGCTTGAAATAAAAGATACCTTTGAGTTTGACACATCTGTTTCACATTTGGATATATTACTTGAAAAAGACGTAAAGAGTCATTTTACAATAAGCTATATGATAATCATTATGACTTTAATTTTTCAATCGTCAACTTTCCTTCTTTATGAAGCAGTATACCTTGATCATCTGCATATGGAGTTAATATCTCTCAGTTGATTCGCTAAGCAAAAGCATGCTCTACGTATGTACAATTTTAAGGTTGATACAAAGACCTTCATTGCATCAACCGTAGAACACGAAATGATGACTTTAAACCAATACATTTCATCAATGAGTCAAATGCTGACTGACGTTTTTCATATTATTTGTTAGTACACACAGAATTGACGACAGATTTTTCAGTTATTTCCCGATCATGAAAAGGAGCACACGGCGAGTGTGATCGGTCGGCAGGGGATGCTCACTCCTCCATGGCCCCTGGTCCTACCTCTGAAGTTTTGGAGGTCCGTGTTTGCTGTGCTCCTATTTTGTATTGTTTTATCATGTTATCTCCATATCCTCCATATATCATTGGTAGAATAAAGTAAATAATAAATGTGAACTAAAAGTTGTGACGCCTGAACGAAATTAATTCTCCAATGTATTCAAGTTGTAAAGTCTTTCATTGTTATTTTTTAGATTCATTTTCCCTCCAAAACATATATGACAGTACGATTTAGTACAATGGGAGATGCAGATACACTCGAATTAAATGTATATCCGTCTCCAGCTGACGAAAACAGGTCTGAAGGTCTATGTGGTACGGTTGGAATTGGGGCATTAAGAACGCCAGCCAAGGAGAAATCAGCTGTATCTATAGACACATTTACATCCTCTTGGTTGTAAGTTTGAGATAGTCATTTTCATTAATTTCGAGACATAATAAAATTGGTTGATTTCTTTATGAATGAAAAATATTAACATCATAACATAGTTTTTAATTAGCCAAACAGGGAATAACGAATAAATCAATTTATCCCGCTTCAGACAAATTTGTCGATTACTGATTGGATAAAAGCTAATCACATGACGCCCTGAAATTTTCCGTATTACGTCTCCGTTTGCATATTATATCTCCGTCTAGGCGTAATATGAAAATCGGGCACGCGATTCCGTTCGAAGCGTTGTTATTGTAAATAAAAATGGCGGCTAAGAAACGGTTTACGTAGGTAATTTAGTTACATTTCTTGTTACTGTAATGATATTTTATGTTGATTGTTATTGGATTAAAACTTAATATTTTCTTAATATGCACAAATATTTTTTTTAAAACGAAAAAGGTCTTTAGCGGGATAAATTCGTTACACAGTCAGTTAGTGACCTAATACGGATTCATACAGGGTGTGAAATGGAAATCCGTATTGGGACTCGGCTTCGCCTCGCCCAATACGGATTTCCATTTCACACCCTGTATGAATCCGTATTAGGTCACTAATTGACTGTGTAACTAATAGTATTATGGTACAGGTAAATGACACTTTACAACAGTCTAGTGCCAACATATCATCGCGAATGTGCATATGTATGTGTGTGTGTTAGTGTGTTAGTGTGTTCGTTACCTTGTGGGCAAGATTGACAGAGAACCTTTGCATTAACCATTCTCAGCGTTTACATACTTGTGTGGCAGTATAAAAGGACGAAGCCTATTAATTTTCAAGTTCAGTGATGAAATATTTCTTCAGATATCGCATTTTCACTGTCTCGAAACCCTGACATTTTATGTACGAGTTGACAATAATCATTATCGCTAGGGAACCAGTTTAAAAGCCGTGTCGAGTCGGTGGGAACCAGATTAAAAGAATTTGATGAACGTCGCGGTTTCATTACCAAATTCCAACAGGTGTCTGGGAATTTGGGTGCACGTTAAATTGAAAGTGTGTGTGTTGGGGGGGGGGGGGGGGGGGGGCTAAACCAACAAAAAAGGTAAACCCCAATTTGCAATGCCTATATAAATTGTCTATATTTGCAAAAAAGTGGGAGGCTAAGCACCCCCCCCCCCCGGTTCCGACGCCTATGCCACAAGTTCAAATAAACTCTCGATGTACATTGTTATTTTTCATTACGAAAAAAATGCATATTGCCTGGAACTGTAAAATATACTAATTAGGTAGGTAAATAATTAAAATTACCGAAACTTGTACATGTAGCATACGTGATATGTTTCTACTAGGTAGAAGGGAAACTGCCCAATTACGTATACACATTATGCCCCCAACCCCCTCCCGACTTAAATGCTGTGCAATTTCATTTTTGTTAAAAATAGACACCCCCACCCCCTATAATTTTGTTAAAGAAATAAATAGAGCTGAAAAACAATTTAATACCTTATATTAAACTTTACTACCCAAAATTAGGTATCAATGTTATGCCCCCCCCCCCCCTCCCCAACCAAGACGCTTTGCACTTTGCATTTTGTAAAAAGAAAAATTGGATCAACAACAACACTCTTCTAATTATTTTTTCAAAAGTAAGGGAGTTGATCCTAATGTTGTGGGTTTGAACATACTGTGGGACGTGGAGACTGGTCCTTCGAATGAGACCATGTAAACCAATTGCAAGGGCCCATGTCCCAATAGATGCTGGCACAAAAAGATCCCTCACTGCTCAATGGCCGTCAGTGCCTATAATAAGAAAAAATGTGCAGTTCTTCACGGGCAAGCCTTCATATAAGCAAAATATTCATGAGAGGGAAATTAAAGAAGATACGTTGTAATATCAATCTTTAACATGTTAACGTCCCTCTAGAGAATTTATCTCTCATGAGATATTGCCTTTACCAGTGATGTGTCTGTCGCGAGGGGATGCTCCGCTTAGCGGTGCCCTTGTTTTTCTCAGTACTGTAATGTCATTATGAGTCTAGAATCAAATCACAAACATTATTCGTGTAGCAACTGGAATCTAAACAGGAACGATTTATTTAATATCCTATACAAGTGGTTTACGTCCTAATCTTGTCATTATGCTACTGCATCGTCACTTATAAAGTCATCGGCTTTAGTATAGTTCTGCATCAGACTTAATGTGAAATACTCATTCAAAGTAAATATAAATGTAATTCACTTACAGTTATCCAGTTATCGTTTCCTTCCAATTTTAACATTTGCTCAGAATAAATGTGGATGTAAAAGATATGTATGAAAAGAATTTTGACCTTTTACATGCTTCTTAACTTTAACGAATGATCTGAATGTAATGAAATTCAATTTATTGCCAAGAGATGCTTATCTTAACAAAATTGCCGAGGTGCTTTATCCAGAAGATATTTGTCCCATGTGTGAACGGAGATGGCAACTGCTTCTATAGGGCCCTCTTTAAAGCATTTTTGGTTATGAAGAAAGGCACATCGAAATTGTAAAAAAAAAATCAAAAAAGTACGGCAAGACGTGTTCTCATCTAACAAGTGTACAATATGTTGTGTAGACATCCGTATCGGACAGATAACTTGTACCAGGAAATCTAATCAATTTTATGCAGAACGAAATTATTGTTCTTTGAGTCATTTATTCGCAGCGACAAATGCCCTGAATCATACAGTATGTAGTTTTTAACATTTTGTAAAGCTATTTTGAGGTAAAAAGGTAATATAAGTCAAGGTTACCCAATCTACATCACAAGGTCACACACTGAAAATACAAAACACAAATCATTTTGTGGTTTGTCTCCTAATATTACGTTCTGAATTCAAAGAAATGAAGGAACCTGCCCTTAAAAAATCAAAACGTTGCATTGATTCAGATGATACCCTGGAAATCTCCATGAACTCGCAGAATGAAAGAACGGATATTCAATCTGATGACAATGAAATAATTCAGACAATAAAACATGATGAAGATAGATCATCCTTTGACGATTTGGATTTTTCTGACCTTGGTAAAATTAACACACTATCCTCAGCTAAAAAGATAAGTTATATTCAGAATCAACCCTTGCCAGACCATGTCTCCAGGTTACCTTAAACATGTTGTGCTCAAACAATGAATACGGATGGACGCAAAGAGAGTTTATTATTCCCATTTCCTTGAATGAATCTGATTTAAGGTTGAACTTCAGGAAACTCTTAAATGGTGGTCTGTATCATGTTTCCTCGGTCATCAGTTTTCCAACATTTCTTAAACAACCTTTTACTGCGTATAAGAAAGTCATTGGGAAAGTATCTGCACTTTTAAAGAATACCACAAGAGTGTCAAATCTGTTTATCACACAACCAAATGAAATTTGAAGTACCATCTTTGTCTCCTCCTTATAAAATCAGTCAGCAAAATCATGCATAGAATCAACACAACATAAAGTTGCTTGAGAAAATGGTAGATGCGATTATTTTTTGTGGAAAACACACAGCTATACCACAAGTAGAGAAAATGATGGGTCTGTATATTTTTTTAAGACAGAAACTAGTTGGACTTTGATATAAGACAAGCTTGGTGGGTTGAGTGTGTCACATATGCTTTAATGTGTTCTACACTATGAACAAGTTCGTCATCAAGTGTCTGCAACACATTCTCAATAAGAACCTTGATGAATGTACCAGTGAATACGTGTCTTGGGATAGACAAACAAAAGTGACCGCAAAGGGGCTATTGGCTTCGATTGCGTCCTTTCTGTGTTGATAACATCCGTGTTTGTAAGGTGTTTCCTAGAAACAAAAAGTCCTTGCCTCTAAAACTTCAGAAAAGAGATTAAAACTCCAACGATTTGCTCCAATCAGTAACAAAAAGAAAATTTCTCCACAAGTAATTCAAGAGATTGATATCGTTCTGTCGTAGTCATACCGTTTTAGTACTTTTTCCTCAATGAATTAGAAACGAGGTTTCAGAAAGAAGATCTGATGGCGTATTCAAAATATCTTTCACACGAAGAATTGTCCAAACTTGCATCGGAATTAAATTTTGGGGAAGAAACCTGTTTTGTTTTTCTACAAAGTGACCTGTAGAAAGAACTCAGAGATCGGACACTTTATTACGTTAACAAGAGCAAACAAATTTCAAACAAGCATTTCAATCTGCTCAATTATTTTAACTTTTTAGATGGGGACGTTTTTCCGAAAGTTAAAAAACATAAAGCATAGTGCAGTGGTTGCAAAAAGCGTTTCTGTTGCAAAATAAAGGAATGAACAAAACTGTTATTTTAACAAACTTGTGTTAGCGTGTGAGGAATTTGGCGAGTTTCGGGAGAGCTTTGTCATCGCGAATAATTCTCGCCGTGAACTGGTCCTTTAAATCTCTGCGTTCATTAACAACAGATCCATAATAAGCTTGTTCGCGAAAATTCATCGTCGGAAACTAGCCTCCCCCACCTCCCCGGTAAATTGCGAAATAAAGTCTTCGCGAATCAAAGCTGGTTATCCAAAATAGTTATTAAATTTGTATTGTTGTATCTACGTTTCCCCCTTGCTCAGTGCATCTTATTGTATAATGATTGAGCCAACGTTTGCCCGTTGCCCGGCCAGTAAATGATAAGGCATAAAAATGTGTGTTCAGTGGCAAAGTATATGTATGGTACATGTACCAATATGTTGTTTTACTGTACAGTTAAAGGGACAAAGTCGTTTACTACATTCTGCATTTAATTTCATGATTTTGGGTCTTTGGTTTTATATATTGTTAGGCCGATCTTGGCTCTCTGGAATGCAATCTTATGCAATGCAAGCATTGACAGTTTGTGATAGTAAACATGTACATATTAATAATTTTGTGTTGTGATTAAAGTATAGTGAACACTTTTGAAAGTATTTTTAGAAAAAATAAGAAAATTTAAATTATATAATTATTTCCTTATTAAAATAAAAAGGAACTCGGATTTAACTGTTGCAAGATCATTGTCTCGTATGGGTTATTGTGTGTATTTCTACACTTCATTGTCTCATGTAAGTGTTTGATAAGGAGAATTTTGCATCAGCCAACAAAACAATGCACACAAATTTGCGATTATCAATAATATATGATTAGTGTTTTATTATACCCCCGCTTGAAAAGTGGGAGGGTACATAGTGATCGGGATTTCCGTCCGTCCGTCCGTCCGTCTGTTACGCTATATCTCTTATCTGCAACTCCTCTTATACTACTGAGTGAAATTTAATGAAACTTTCAGAGAATCTTTATTACATATTGCCATTGTGTACCTCCTATATTACTTTTTTATTCGACACATATTTAAGGTTTCCCATAACAAAACATGGACATTGCCATTATATCATTACCTATAACGTCACATAGAAGCTTCTGGATAACATTTGATAGGACGAGTTATTCCTCTTTACACATTACCGTAAAACAATATTTATATAGCAACACATGGACATTATGGGAGGCGGGGTTTCATTTAGTGAGCTCATTGCTCAAAGTACTTCTAGTTTTATTTTAAAATTAATAAAATTTCCTTGTCTTTTGTTATTTGTATAGTAAACATGAAATTTTTTTTCCGAATTTGTATAAAATAATAGATATGCCCTTTCCAGAACGATAGATTTTACCTGCTAGTTTGCCATAAGAATCTAGGAAGGGACTCGTCTAAAACCTTTTCCTAAACTTTCGTACAACATATACGCTAAAACAGACTAAACAAGACCACTGAAATACATGTATATGAAGTCGAACTCAACTTATCAGTCGCTTGGCGTATACACTTTGGATTGCATCTGCTTTTTAGCTCACCTGAGCCAAAGGCTCATGTGAGCTTTTATGATCATAATTTGTCCGTTGTCTGTCCTCGTTGTTGTCGTTGTCGTAGTTGTTGTTAACTTTTTACATTTTCATCTTCTTCTCAAAAACCACTGGGCCAATTTCAACCAAACTTGCTACAAAGTATCCTTGGGTAAAGGGGATTCAAATTTGTTCAAATGAAGGGCCACGCTTTTTTCCAAGGGGAGATAATTATGAATAAGAGAAAAATTAATGGCATTTTTAAAAAATCTTCTTGTCAAGAACGACTGGGCAAAGAAAGATGAAACTCATGTTGACTCATCCTCAGATAGTGTAGAATCAAGTTTGTTCTAATCATGATCCCTGGGGGTAGGGTGGGGCCAGAATGGCGGTTCAAATTTTTATATAGGAGTATATAGGAAAAATCTTTAAAAAATCTTCTCAAGAACCACAGGGCCAGGAAAGATGAAACTCATGTTGAGTCATCCTCAGATGGTGTAGATTCAAGTTTGTTCAAATCATGACCTCTGGAGGTAGGGTTGGGGCCAATATGGCCGATCAAAGTTTAGGAATATATAGGAAAAATCTGTAAAAATCTTCTTCTCAAGAACCATTGAGACAGGAAAAATGAAACTCATGTGAAATTATCCTCAGGTAGTGTAGATTCAAGTTTGTTCAAATCATGACCCCCGGGGGTAGGGAGGGGCCAAAATGGCCGACCAAAAATTCTTATAGGAATATATAGGGAAACGTTTTAAAATCTTCTTTTCAAGTACTTCAAAGGCATGATTAGTAATATTTATGTAGAATTATCCTCAGGTAGTGTAGATTCTAGTTCGTCCAAATCATGATATGTGCTTTTTCCTAGCTGATGTGCTCAGGTGAGCACTGTGGCCCCTGGGCCTCTTTTTATGACGTCAGCTGATTAAATCCAACTTTGGGCAAACCAGCATTGTTTAAGTACTTGGTCTGGCTAATTTTGTTATTTTTTTTAGTTTTGCATTTCAAGGGAAATTATTATTCTACCAAAAATAAATAAATAAGATGAAAATCACTAACATCAAAATTTATTCAATATCATCAATTAAACCTAAAGGAACAAACAAAACAATGTTTTCCATGTTCAGTTTTGGAACATAATCTTTTAAGTGGTAATTTTCTCAATGCTAATAAAGTAATGCATCCATATGAATTTTCAGCTTGTATACATGTGTACCAAAAGTACTTTGTGACATGTACATGTATTTGAAATTGATTAAGGCAGACAGAATAGGGCCATACTGATCGTTGCAGATTTAAGGCGCATTTACAATTTTAGAAAAGAATTAAAAGTAATCATTTTTAACTTTCCAATACAATTATTGTGTAATTTTTTAGAGTTCCTGACGAGGACAACATGCTCAAAATGGATATTAAACAGTTGCAATCCTTTCCAAGGACAAAGAATTCTAGAGATCTTTGTATTTGTAAGCCAACAAAAAAAAGCGTCAAAGGTGATATTATTGATACCCTTACGTGCACAAATGAAGACAAAGAATTAATAACATGTGAGAAGGACAATCGAAAACCAGTACAAAAGGATATTTGTTATGAAAGACACAGCAGAAGGAAACGGTCTATAGATCGCTTATTTACGTATATACCAAACAATTATGTTCACCCCAAAAGGAAACGAACAAAGGTATGGGCATTAAAATCAAGATTTCTTATTTCTTTTTTTAAATATAATATTTGAGTTGTATTTGAGTGGTGTTTCATACTATTTCTATTTTAGAGAGCAGTTACTGTTGCAATGACTGAACCTGAAGCAAGGTTATGGTGCGAGAATTACTTGAATAATTCCCCTGGATTTGTAGCATGCAAAAGTGTACCTAACATGAACACTAAACAATCAGTGGAAATTTGTGTTTTGGATATTCTGGTATTCTTCATTGAAATTCGCTATTCGGATCAATAATTCTTATCTAATTTATGGGAATTGCATGTAAATAGTATAGATCACTTTTAGAAAAAAAAATCTTGGTATAGAGAATTGTTGAACCAAAACATCAGGTAACCTTCATAGCTGAAATTTTTATCCGTGTACTTTCAGGCTACGAATTCAACATTATTTGCTAGCGCACCACGAGAAAGTCTGAAGACATCTTGTTTAAAGGAACTCGATCAAAATGAAACTCTTAGAAACACTTCTGAAAATGGAGAAAATCTCGCAGAAAAGATTTTCTCCTTAGCGTGTCCAAATGATTGCAGCGACAATGGTATTTGTAGAAATGGTAAGCGTTTTTAAACGAAAATGAACAATGCCTCTAATTTATAATCTAGTTGCACAGCAAATAGAAAATCTACCAAATATAACTTTAAAGTATTGTTCTTAATAGGAAAACTCCTAAAAAATGGCATCCTGATATACCTTAAAATCAGAAAAGGCTTTATTCAACGATATAAACGTCCATACTTTATATATTTATTAATTGTGACAAGACCTTTCAAAGGGTATAATTATTTTATATCTTTTTTGACATTAGAGTTTTACCCATTTTTAAACAAACATTAACCTCGGCCATAACTGTTGAATAGATACCATTAGGGATTTTTATATTTCGAGGTGTATGTAACAAGACCTTTCTTTAAATACCAACACTTTAGACATTTTGACCACGAATTTTGAAGTTTCTCTTGTATCTGAGAAATTTCAATCCTCACCATTAGCTACCATACTGGACATCAGTGTTACATGTACATAAGTACATCTTGTTTCAAACCGCTTTATACTTTACGTTGAAAAAGAACATTCTAGCTGCAGCCAATGAGCATTTTCAAAAATTGCTAACCAATTTTAGGAACAATTAGAAAATGTCTCAAAAAATATTGAATACGAATCAATCTTTATCCTAGTGTACTATATTTGCATGCCAATGAAGTACATACTTAACTTTAAAGTGATATATGGCGTATTTTTGAGAAGATAAGAATAACTAAAGTAAAAAATATCTTTCTATTTGTTTTGTTACCTTATAATTATAAAGATAGGACTTTCCTGTTAATAACACAATTTAAATCAATCGCGTTTCATAGATATCACAGATTTAAAACAATGAAATACGACTCTGAAATAAATATCAGACACAGTTTAATTTTAACTCAACTCAGAACAGGTAATAAAAACTGGGGATATTTAAGTTCAAAATAGGTGAAAATTTTAAGAAATCTGTGAAACACAATTCATCAAAACTTGTACTAGTGTGGAAAAAATGTTCTATGAATTAAATTTTGTATTTTTCTAATCGGAAACAGGTACCTGTAATTGCAGTGAAGGATTTGGAGCCGGAGATTGTTCCATCAATCTTAATGATCCACCGGTGGTGTTTGCCGTCAACTACGAAACCGGAGGACTATGTGATAAGTTATTTTGCAAAGTTGCTGTAGTTGAGGGAGATCAGTTTTTAAATAGACCGGAACTGACATGCAAAATGAAACGTTTTGAGGTACATGTATATTATTTCTTCAAAACTTAGCTATATCAGAAATACATGTAGTTTCTATAAATTCGCATAAGAATGAAAAGCAAAGACAGATTTCTTATAGTGAAAAAACACAATGTATCATTCAGCATAATTTTAAATTATTTTTTTTTATTAATTATAAAAATAAGTACGAAGGTTGACAGAAAAGGTTGCTGACACAATTATTCATTTATTGTGGTGTTTGAGGAATGACTTATGCCTTTTAAAAATCTTCTTTTTAAATAACATACTGTATCATGTGATTATGATTATATTAATTAATCATCTTTAAATTAAGTTGTTTACATTTGTAACTGTTCTTTAGTTAAGAAACTCATGCACGTGCATGTTCAATAAAAGAACGCAAATTTTACTGCAATTAGGTATAAATAATTGTAGGAATATCTCTATAAATAACATGATTAAATACACATGAGGCAAATTTTGTCATTTGTTCTATTGTTTAAAATTCTACCATATAATAAAAGATTTGATAATCAATTATTTATTTACTACTGACATTTCTCCAATTGATATATTATATACACTTTACATGTATAATTTATGTACCTGAATAAGTTTAGATATACCGGTGTGTTCTAGAGAATTCAATCATTTTTTTTTTATTTTCATTGATAATAGATGAATATGAATGGCACAGCCTGGGAGTTAGAAACAACATTAATTCCTGGAGATCACAACACAATCGGTGATATTCGATGTAAATTTCCTCACTCTATTTCCAAAAGATCGGTTTCAAAGACAGCTTTCGTCACTGGATACCACGTGTCTGTCAGTAACAACAAAAGAAATTTCAGCGATGTCCACCCAATATATATCTTGGATTCCACTTGTCAAGACACTGTTAACGTTTCTGGTCAACTTCGGTTTGCTTTGAAGGTTAAACAATTTTCCACACTCTACAAACCGTAGGACAATGCCCCTTATTTCATACTACTTGTTATATGTATTTAAATCATTCAGAAGATCCTGGTCATGCTTAGATCGTTTCTAAACATAAGCTTTGTTTTTATGCACTGTGATTTGCAAAGCAAAATATTTATATCTTTATGTTTCAATGTATTTTTATCGAATCAGAAAGCCTTAGATATATGCGATCGATTTATTTTTAACAAAAAAATATGGTGTCAGCTCAAAGAAGTAAAATTTACCTACATTTCATTTTCTATATTATCTTCCAAATGCAATTTCTTTCAAAAAAAGGCGGGGTTCTGTTTCATTCATGGTTCATGCTTAGCGGATGGATTTCAAAAGGGATGTTACGAATGTGATGTTCTTCGAAACACATTTGAATGGTCATTTCGAGGAGATGTGAAAGGTAATTTATTAACACATCAGTATTTATAACAGAATACAGTTTTCAATTTGTATTTACCTCTTAGACTAAATTATTGAAAATTTAATTAATATCAAATTAATTTGAACTACAATCAAAGCAAGCAAGACGACGAAAATCAAAACTCACTAGCTTATTTTATATAATAATCTAATATAATATGTTTAGGCTGTAAAGTGGAGGAAGAGAAATCAGATTCGAAGCTGTGGATTATTGCAATATTTTTTGCCGTTTCTCTCCTAGTTGCTATAACTTTACTGTTTCTTTATGTAAAAAAGAAGAAGCAGAGGTAAGTATTTTTTTTAATTAAAAAAAATCGCCATTTTTTCTTCTAAAAAATACTTTAACACCTCTTTAAAGTAAATCTGACGAAAAATTAAAATATCTCTGGAAAAAATACATTTTTGATACATTATTTAACACAATTATATGCACATTATAGATAAATGATTCATATTTATATATGAAGATACTTGTAACGATCAGTATATTCACACTCAGAAGTCCATTCAAGTAATGCAAATCGGGAGCTTAACAAAAACACGGACCTCTAAAACAGTCGGGTGCCACGGAGGACTAAGCATCCCCTGCCGATCATTACATTTGCTACTTGTCATAGTTGAAGAAAAACAGCGCGAAATCCGTCATCAATACAATGTACAAATAATGACCAAACAATTGTATAGCTATAAATTAATGTTCTATGGTTTAGCAAAAAAATTAAAAATCTTACCTCTTTATTTCTTTCAGAGTTATTCATGACAACAGCATGTTGGCTGGACCATCATCAGACATTCCAAAATCTGTTAAATATAATACAAATTATAAATACTGAATCAGAGAAATACATTTTTATTTTGTGGAGAAAACAAATTTTAGTGAAGTTTTGTATCCGGATGTCCAATAAATTAATTATAAAAGCTCACATGGTTGCTTTCTATCAGGTTGAGGTTAGAGGCTGAAAGGAACAAAATATCTGCATGTATCCCTTTCTCTTGAGAGGGAATCAGCGCTACAATGTAGCTGTACTCTGATTGTTCATCAAGATAGTCCGATCCTCCGATTCTTTAAATCAGGCGTTGAAAATACTCACAAAAATATTCCAGAATTCTCTGTTACTTCAAACTTCATCATTAATCATATTCTTCTGGGTGGTATTTAAAGAAAAGCTCTAATATACACGAAATGCGAATGTAAACACTTACATGTTACTTGTATTTTGTGATTGAATATTGATCAATATATTTTAGGATTTAAAAAAATATAAATATCCAGGCAAGTGATGAAAATTGCATGATTTTTATCTAAAACAAAACACTTTATTTCTTTTATTGAGTTCAATCATTTTATAAATGCAAATTGTATAAAGGGTATCCTATTACATGTACTGTAAAACACCATAAATCATTTCTCACATCTACGGCTAGATGGAAAAAAACAGAATTTTCCTATATGATGTAATTTGATAGTATATAATATTTATATAGTTCCAATAGCAACTTTTTGTAAGACCGTTGTTAAGACTTCATGAACCTTAAATTCCACTGAAATGCATAAGATGAAAATTGTGGAATAAGAAGATTTCAATTCCAAGGTTCATTTTCATTTGAGTAATTTGAATAAAATGATAAATCAAAGAGGCACCCTTCCTGGCTGAGGATCGCATCACCTTACACGATTGCCTCTCTCTCTCTCTCTCTCTCTCTCTCTCTGCTGTACCTACTTGCCAATAACGTTTATTTTAAATTAAGTCATTGTATTGTTGTGTTTTGATCCTGATAGTGCATCTTAGGTTTAGTCAATTCCAGGTAGAATATGCGTAAGGTGACGTTATTTAACTGGCGAAAGTTTGATGCAAAATCCATCTTTCTTTTTCACAAGTACATAATTGTACAATGTTTAATGACCAAAGGCTAAAGGATGGTTCTAATAATGCCCTCTGATCTCAATTTAGAGATTTTTAGTCTTACCATTGGTATTCTTAAGCTTGTTGGTCTTTGTTTAATTGACAGAAATTTCTCATTTCATATCTTGCTACAAAAATCTGTCCAAATAAAAAGAATTCTTTGAAAATAATTGTTGAAATGAGGAAAAGACCAAATCTTTAGGTTGGTGTAATTCTTCAGGGGGGAAAACAGATAGAAAGTAATGACATTTCAGTTATATCTTTGAGGTGCTCAAACATGATGGGATTTAGGTTCTGGGAGATTTTTCTCCTTCTATAAATACCTTTAAATACTTTCAGACTGAATTTTCATATCATTAGTTTCTACATACATTTTCATAAATAGCAGCAATATTGTTTTACAACGCGAAATGCAATAACGCAAAATGTGATAAGTCCATGCATAGGATTTAACTTCATAAAACATATTTATTATAAATGTGAAACATTGCCACTAATGTCATTATTCAACAATTTGTACTGGAGCCCATTTCTCCACATGTGTCAAAAGCACAAAAAGTTTCTTTTTGAAAGACAAATGTTTGTAAGAAAATGTACATGTAAAGTCGGTATATTATCTAAGGTAGAATATCCTTACCTAAAGCCAGTTTGACTTTTACTTATAAGATTAAAATTCTCTATACATAGTATTCTAAATTTTTATATAAAATGGAGATAAAAAGCTTACCATGGCAACTTAAAATTGTAACTGGGCGATATTTTTTTAGATTTGTTGGGTCGCCATTGGTTTTACAATATCTGTCAGCCATTCGTAGAAAGTTTAGTTTGTAAATATAAAGAAAAATCGTCAGCATGCATATTCGACTTTATGCAAATTTTGTTGAAAAGTTCATTCTATCGACCAAAGAATTAATTATAAAATGCTAACTCACTGTACATATCTTAAAGTTTGTCGCCGTACATGAATTAAAACAATGAGCCATACAAGAAATGATAGTTTTGTTACCTGCTCTACCAGTTGGAACCGATGCATACTGAATTGATCATCTATCAATCTAGCTCTTCTATCTTCTTCTTAATAAAACAAATGTTGGTTTTCCCCCTCAATTGCTTGCAGGTAGATTTCATCTGAAATATTTAATCCATGCATGTAGTCTGACAAAATAAAATGTCTTGAAGTTCCTTCCCATTACTTGTAACAATCGTCAACAAAATATTTACTATTCATGACGCCATCCATTTTCGCTACCTAAGGGTTTCTCATACACTTCCCTCCTCATAAGCTAATGAGGAGAGTAGAGTATTAGACACACTTGGCTATCGAAGATGGACACCGCGCGTTTGAAAGTCCAGGTTTCTCTCAACTTTGGTCCTTTTCAAGTAAGTGTTTTATACCTTTATCATTACTTTTATCACCAATAATGGCGTGTCAAGCAGGACTTTTGTTGTAGGATGAAGAAGAATAGCCTATTAAAGACTTTATATTTTCCTTACATTTATATTGAGCACTATTTGTACGCTGTGGAATCCCAACACAGTCGACATTGCCATTATTATAAATGCCGTGTCTATTTTATAGTTTCCTATTGCATTCAAAAAGAAATGAAAGTTTCACAGTACATACATACATAATACTTGTAGTATGCTTTATTGATATAGATTTCCTTTCCTTTTTGAATAATCTATTAATATTCATTAATACCGCATAGCGGGTATTCTTGGTGGGTGTAAAATTTGCGTTTTGTATGCTTGAATGTATGCCAATATTTTGGCGTAATTAATTTTAGGGGACATAGAGTTTCAGTTCTTTGAACACTAAGAGGAGTACTGACTATTTTAGCAATTAAAATTTTAGAGTACCAGCAAAACGCCAAAATAAGCTAAAATTAGCACCCGCTATACGGTATTGATTGGATGTATATGTACAATGTTTTATGTCCTGATGGAAAATTGTGCACTCGTCACCATGTAATTTTAATGTTTCACGACACTCATGGCCATTGAGCAGTAAAGGATCGTTCGCCTGTCTTGACTTCAATATTTAAGGTCTCCTCTGCAGGACCTTCAACTTCCTTTTCAAAGTTCCGAGTGCTGTGCGAAGGAACAGTTGCTACCAATTTTTTTATCAACTTACGTCAGTCGCAACAGGCCCGGGGCTCATACACCCGACCTTCTGAACAAGGGGTGAGTGCTCTACGCTCTACCAAATGAGACACTGTAACGGTTTTCTGTTAAAAAAAGACATAAGCAGAACTTATACGGCACAGTGATGTCTTTGTAAATTTTGCAATGAAGGCAAGGATAATTCTTTGTATATACGAGAGCTGTTCAATAAATAATGTCATGAACTGTATGACGTACGATACAGATATCATATGACATTAAGCTTCACTTTCTCTCATTATCTGATTATTGAATCTTTAATGAATAATTTTTTGCGACCATTTTTTATCACATAGTTTTATTTTGAGCGGCTTGAAAACAAGGGTTATTCGAGACACTGCATTATAAATGAATGGTAAGGAATCAGTAAACTAGAGTGAAAATAAAAGCTTCATTAGAGCTGCTGTAAAACTTGTTAAAAATCCTAAAGAAGTATTCACCGGAATATGTGAAATTTATAGCAAACAAATGAGCAGGTATATATCAATAAAAAAATGGGCATCAAAAAATGGGTACCGTCCTTGCCAACAAAAATTATAACAACTTATGTACCGATTGCCAAATTTCAACAAATAATATTTGATTGATGTTTGATTGACTTTAAGACACATAGAGAATTTGATAGACATCATTTCGGGATTTACACTGTTTCTAAGAAAGGTTTGACGGTAAAAAAAAAAAAAGCTTAGTACTCAAAGGTCACCCTATATTTTGAAAAATAAGTGAAAACGACAGTGTGTACAATTGTCTTAACAATTATTTTAAAATATCAGTAATTGTAGTTTTCCACGTTTGTTTGAAATTCAAACAGATAATGAAACTTGAATCTATTGACTAAAACCCCCAAAACAAAATTTACCATAACATGTATTTGACAAAAACAGCGAAGGTCTGAAAAGAGAAAACAATTGCAAGAGCACAAAGACAGATTTTTATGCAATTTTCTTAAATATTAGTGGTATTATTGTTCAAATTCGTATTTCGGGATACAGATTAATTTCTGGAGAAGTCTTGAAAGCAAAAAGATCGAAAGGTTTACCTGTATCAGAGGAAGGACCCAGAATCAGGAATCCACTACATTAATTTCTTCATGACGGTGTAAAGACGAATAATGACCCCCATCGAATAATGACCGGGGAGTCATTTTTCAACGACAAAAAATGACCCCCACCCGTAGAAAAAAATCACTTTTTGTAGAAAAAGGGTCCTAGGGGGTCATTATTTTATATGTTAGTCCTATAAAATAATGACCCCCATTGAAAAATGACCCCCTTTAAAGTGATACAAAATATACACTCTTTGATATCTTTTTTTACAGCGAAACTAATTTTAACATTTTCTGTAACCAGAAAAATACAAAAAGTCGTATGAAATAATTAGGAGATTCACGTAGTCTTTCAATGCTAAAATTGTGTTTGAAAAGAGATTCTTTAATTGTCAAGTAAATAAAATTTCTTTTTAATTTTCCTCCTTATAATGTTTGCTTAAAGAATGATATTCCACTTGTTTTTAGAAATCAAACCATGCAAAAATCAGGTTTAAATACTCTTTAATTGGAAAAATTAAATTTTCCGTCATTTCAACTTTTAGTTTGTTTAAGTTTGGCAAATCCTATTTGACAATGAAAGAGGAAGGAATTTTTTAACCCCCCCCCCCCCAAAAAAAAGAACATTACGTTAAATCAAAACAAAAAAAATAATAATAATAAATGAAAAGCAAAAATATAAATAAAACTCTATACCTTTCAATAATTCTGAAAGAGGCTC